AACCCAGCAAGTGAAAGAGAAGCTGTATCCAACGATATAATGAAAGAAAAATTTCCAGAAGTGAAGAACAAATGAAATCTACAGGTGGAAAGAAAGCACTGAATCCCAGGAAAATTTGATTTAGAGTATTGCAGCAAGTATTTTCTAGCTAAACACCTGGACTTCAAAAACAAAGAATGTTTCAAACATCCAGGCAGAAAGAAAAATCACCAACAAAGGGTGAGGAATCAGGCTGGCATCAAATTTCACAACATTCATTGTAGAAGACAATGGGTCAGTGTCTTCAAAGTTTTGAGAAAAGAAAGGATGACCCCAGATATCATTTAAATATAAATACCCATGAACACTTGTTGGAAAGGACTGCTTGATAACCAAAGGCAAGCAACTAAGAAATCAATCAAAATAGGGGAGCCTGGGTGACTCAGCTGGTTGAGCATCTGACTCTTGATTTCGGCTCAGGTCATGATCTCAGGGTCCTGAAATCGATCCCTGCATTGGGCTCCGTGCTCCACAGAGAGCTGGCTTGAGGATTCTCTCTCTGTCCTTTCCCTCTGTCCCTCCCCCTGTTCTCTCTCTCTCAAAAATAAATAGATGAACCATAACAGACTCTTAACTATAGAAAACAAACTGAGGGTTGCTGGAGGGGAGGTGGGTGGGGGATGGGATAATTGGGTGATGGGCATGAAGGAGGGCACTTGATGTAATGAGCACTGGGTGTTCTATGCAACTGATGTCACTAATTTCTACCCCTGAAACTAATAATACACTATATGCTAATTGATTGTAAATAAAATTTTAAAAATAGATAAATAAATAAAAATCTTAAAAAAAAAAAAGTCAATCAAAACAAGAATTTAAGCATAGAGAAGCCATGACACTGGATCCATTTATACGTAGGATGACTACCAAACAATCCTAGCAATTATGGTTTCAAAACAGAATGCGGATATTATAAATCTGGACAACATAAAAACAATAATATAATAAAAAATTGGGAGCTGAGGGAGAGGGGATGGGCGTAGCAAGAGAGTTCTAACGTTCTCATCTTTTGAAGATGGGGGTATATTATTCAAATTTACAACGTGATTTAAAAAAACCTAAATGTTTTTTCATAATCACCTTTATTTAACTATAGGGCAGGAGTCTACAAACTAGTGCCTGGGGGCGGACCACCTGTTTCTGTACATAAAGTTTCATTAGAACATAGTGCCATCATTTGTTTACATATTGTCTATGCTACTTTCCAGCTCTAACAACAGACCAGAACAGCCTAAAGTATTTACTGTCTGGCCCTTTAAAAAAAACAAAAAACAAAAAACAAAAACTGCCAACCCTTGCAGAGGAATCTTTTTCAACTCGTAGGAATCTTGTGGTAAAGAAATATTGACTTGAGGTTTCATAATTTGTTAAGTTTAATTCAGTCTTTTCCCCTCCTATTAAATTCATGTCAAAAATTAAGTTTAATAATGTAATATAAATCTTATTTTTGTAAAATGATATATTAATCATTCCAAAGATGTCAGGGATAATGGATCACCTAATGATATTTGGCATGGTTTCTTAAACCTTCATGTTTTTGTTTTTCTGCACTAATTGGAATCTTTATAAAGAGCAAATATCATTTTTTACCAGAATCATAAAATAGGATGGTTTTTCTATTTGAAAACACTAGAAGCAAATATACCAAGATGTTAACAATAATTAATTCTGGCTGGCAGGAATGTGATTGCTGTTTTCTTTTTTAAGCTTTTCTATATTTTTTAAATTTTGAAAAAAACAATTAAGCTGTTACAGAAGGTTTAGGCATAAAGCGATAGAGTTTTGGAAATAGTCATGACACACCAGATATAAAGAACACTGTTCTATTTCTATGATAGTCCATATCACTTATACAAACTACACAGCATGGTTCCAGACTAAAATATAAAGCATGACATAAAGGAGAAGCCAGAAGCAGATGATATTCACTTCTGTTAGGCAATTGGCACTGGTTTCTTTCATTTTTGTTAACCTACCGTTCAGTTTTGTCCCCTGCCCCACCCTCCTGGTACACACACACCATACTCCAGCCACACCAAGAGCCTCACCTTCCCTGAAGTCTTCATCCTTCTGTATGCTGTTATGCTTTGTCGCCACCATTCTTTCTCTCTATAATTGCATCCTCTTCTCCACGTGATACATAATTCAATGCTTCCTTTAAGACACAATTTAAATATCACTTACTGCAGTCCATCCCAACCTTGGCTGTACATCAGAATCACCCAGGGAGCATTATAAAAATACTGAGGACCAGGCTCCAGCCCAGCTATTCGGATTTATTTGCCCAGAGTTGGGGCCCAGGCAGCAGTATTTTTAAAAAGCTCCCTGAGAGATTCTAACACACAGCTCGGGTGCAGTCACTGTGAAGCCCTCTGCAACACCAGCACAGAGTCAATGACTCCCTCTTCTGCACTCCCATTGCCCCGAGCGTGTCCATTCCTCATGAAACTTAACGCCCATCGTATTAAAGTTAGTGTTATATGGTAAGTGCTCAGTAAGTGTTCAAGGTTGTTCCATGCCTTCTCCCTCCAAGCAAGCAAATGCAGAGGTGGTTGTCTTACCACGGGAGCAGGACGGCAGAGTGGGTTCATGTTGCACACCCAGTGACACGGCATGTGGGATTTATTTCTGTAATCTCAAGAGGGTGTGAACCCCCAAGTGTAACCCTCTTCTCCATGCCCCTGCACACACACGCACACACACGTACACTGGGTCTGGCTTTTACATTGTTGAGATAGATGCAACTGAAACAATTAAAGAAACCAGCTGGCTGCCTGACAGGATCCCAATATCATCTGCCTTCCACCCTCTCCTTTGTGTCACACTTGGCATTGTGTTTTATGTCAGATCCTGCTACTTTGGCTTTCAAGAGCAGGTTGGCAGGTGTACTTTGTCAAAGGCTTTCAGAAAATCCAGATAAATGATGCTCTGTGCCCTGAAACTGCCAAACCTGTACTTTACATCTTCGCAATGCTGGGCAATTTTATTTAAGTGGAATCTTTCTCTCTTCCTCCGATTTACCTTTGCCTCCCTGCCCCTGATATCAATCAGACAAGTGGAGACCCTTCCCTTTTTGCTACTGAAAATCAGCTATGCACATGCCAGGCCTGCAGTACAGTACCTTGGGTGATCAGGAGATCCTGGAGGCCACCCCGGTCTGGGGGTGAGGTGAGGTGAGGTGAGGTGAGGTGAGGTGAGGTAAGGTGAGGTGAGGTGAGGCGAGAAGAGCTGAGGATGAGAAAGAGACCACGGTGGATCAGCAAGATGGAATTTCCATAATAACACGACATGCACATGAACTCCTAGCTGTCATTAAGGCAAGGCCCATGGAGGGGTGCCTGGGTGGCTCAGTCAGTTAAGCGTCTGCTTTTCGCTCAGGTCATGATCCCAGGATCCTGGGATCAAGCCCCATGTTGGGCTCCCTGCTCAGCAGGGAGTCTGCTTCCCCCTCGCCTTTTGCCCCTCCCCCTGCTTGTACTCTCTCTTTTTCTCTCAAGTAAATAAATAAATATTTTTTTAAAAAAGGCAAGGCCCATGGCACTCCCCTTTCCTCTTCCAACTCACCTGGAAGGCAGGAGATTTTGCTGTCTACTCTTTCCTTTTAAAAAACCCTACTTATAGTTATTTTAAACTGTCCTCACCAAATGTTTGGTGTTCACAGGATGGTAGCTGTTTACAATTTCCCTTAAGCCCCACATCCTTTGTTCACACAGACATTTTTTTAGCCAATAGATACTTATTTGGGGAAGTGATTTTTCTCCCCCACTCAACTCTTGATGAATTTCCCTTTCCTTTCCCATGAACTTGAGGAGCAATAAGGTATGGTACAACGGAGTCCAATGGCAAATTTCACTAATGTAAAATCAGATTAATCTTAAAATTGAATAATCTGTGTATTTCTAGTATACTGTGTGACCTGAAACAAATCTACTAGCCTTTCAGTCTTGGTTCTTTATTAGTTAAAGAGCAAATTGTTACCTAGTTCCTTTAGAAGTTATGCAGATTAATTAATGTTTGGAAAATGATGTGAAAATTTAAATCAGTATATAAATACCAAACAGCTACATCTTCCCTGCTGGGAGGGCCCAGGTAATTCATAACGTCTTCTAATAAAGGTAAAAATAGTGTACTTGAGCTATACAATTAAATGTGATTTATATGCAATACATATTAGTCTTTAAAAGCTAGAAACCATTTAATAGAAACAATTCATATTTCATAACTATAATAAAAGCATTTAATGACTTTAGAAAAGGTAATCATCTACTGTAACTGATCTAGATATCAGGTCTTTAACTCTATCTGAGATTTTCAAGAGTCCACTCAAAGTTCATTTTTAACCTATTAATGTTGACTGATACATTTACCTTTTTTTAACCTTTTGTTTGCTTTGTTTTAGAGGGAGGGGGAGAATCTTAAGTGGGGCTCCATCTCACAACCCTGAGATCATGACTTCATCTAAGCTGAAATCAATAGTTGACACTTAACCGACTGAGCCACCCAGATGCCCTTGATACGTCTATCTTGAAATTCTCCCAGTTCGCTTGTTTTTGGTTTTGTTTTTTTACTCTCACAACTCTAATATGTATTTCCTAGGAAATTCGCCTGTACAAAACTTTGCTGTATTCAAAACCTCTTCTGTCAAGATTTAGCACTTTTATATCGTAGTCATTAAAATTGAACAAAATCTTAATAGTTCCTTTATGAACTACTATAGTGACTTTGCATAGTGGAAATCACAACATGTTAATTGGATTTAATTAACTATTTTAAATTACACCAACTCCTGACAGTAGACAGTAGCAACAGGGTACTCATGAGCAATAAAACTGGAGCTGCTATCGCTACTTTACTAAAACTTAATGAAACTATTCATAATCTTATTTATTGTTTACAAGAAGAAAACTGTGTTCCTTTTGAAAGCAAAACTGTCTGCTGAAAACAAATTTTTGATTGTCTAGGTGAAGGTTCAGAAGTTAATAAAAGGGTCTACCATATCCAACCTCACAGTTCTACCAGCCTCTCATCGCACGGATCCCTACTTCACGCCCATACCTGTCCTACAAGCAGATGCCAGGAAAGGTTAGTGATTCAACGACCGTTTTATGTGCTTAGGAATCTACGGGAAAGAGCATTGAGGTGGGGTAGGGGGCCTGAGTTTGGATTCGGGCTCAGCCACTTATTCTCCTAGGTGACCTCAGACAAGTTGGGGTCTTCACTCTGGCATGAGTTTGCTCCTCTGTAAATCAGAAGGTTGGACTAGACAATAACTAAAGTCCCTTCCACCTCTAAAACCCATCATCTTACAGATTTAATATTGATTGAGATGTTGGTGTTATTACGTGTTAAAATTATTATTGTGTTTATGTGGTATTATTAGAATTTTTCAAGTTTCTGAGCAGATAGTTTCTGATGCTATTCTGGTAGCATTTAAAAAATTTATTTCAATATACTATTATACGAAAATATGAAGCCAGAATTATTGTAAATGGCATTTAAACCATGCGTGTCTCAGTCTAAATTCTAGTGTTCGTGAAACCAGCGGATTTCTAGTTTTTAAACAAAAGGTCATATCATCTTCACCTCAGTATCCCTAGTATCCAGAACCATGTTGGTTGAATGAATAAGTAAATGAATGACTAAGGACTGAGTGTTTCTCTCTGCTATTTAATTTAATTGGCTGAAGTGTTGAAAAATGCCTAAGTGGATCCCCTTTTGTATCTCAAATATAACCAAGTGACATGGTCTTTAATTATTCCCATCTTACTTTCTATCTGTTGTCTGGAATAGTTTGGACCTAAAGTGTTCCCAAAGGTTCTCTTGGTCCTTGGAGATATAAACTTCTCCATCCTGTCTGCTGTCTACTGACCTACTGGAGGAAGAACAGCAGAACTCAGGAGAACCCAGCATCATTATATGTCCCTTAATGTGTGAAGCTCACAACTGTAACTATTACTTTTCTAGTTATAAACCATTGTTGTTCGGAGATCTTTGTGACATATGATTTTACTTAGTTTACATATTTACTCCCTGGGAATACGGAATGACTCCAGCAGAGTTCTTGCTTAAGTACCATCTTCTATTCTTCCTGGATCAAATTAAGATGAATGAAATAGTGAATGAATGAATGAATGAATCAATCAATCAGTGTCCACTTTAGCAATAGACATAATGAAAAAAATTGCTGCAAAACAAAGGTGAATCTAGAACCATGGCAACTTGACCCAGGAAAAAAATCACATTTTCATCCCTCAGTGATCCACCAGAAAACACATGGCCTGCCATAATATTTGTAATTAATCAGCCAATTAGTCAACATATATTTATTGAGTACGCACCATATGTCTGGTACTGTGCAAGGTAATAGAAATGTCAGGAAAGCTCAAGCCACAGAAATGTGGACACAGTGTCTAGATTTTTACATGTTCCTGATGCCCTTAATGTCATCTCAGGTTCACACAAGTCCAGCCAGAGGTGAAGGATTAACAACACCCAGAAGAGAGAGTTGTTTTGGAAAATGTAGGATGAGCTTCCTGACTTTTTCTCGAATTATCTTGTTACATCCAAAAAAGAAAGCAAGCTTTTTTCTTTTTCTTTTCTTTTCTCTTCTTCTTAATGGTTAAGATATGTCTCACAGTACACAAACCAAACTTTGAGGCTGTGTGTGACCTCTGGCCAGTTGCTCTCTGGTCTTGATTGATTAATCAACTCCAGACTCTACAAACAAGGCAGGCCTGACTTGGACCTTCCCTCCATTCTCTGCTAACTGCTTTCTCTACCCTCCAGCACATGCCCTTCCCCTGCTCCTCTCCAGGCCAAGCACATTTTCATATGGACCTTCACAAGTGCCTCTATCTCTGCCTGGAAACCCAGAAAAATCACTTCCTTAAGCATCTGTCTTTTCCTTCATAGATGATCACAATTTGTGACTCAATTATTGTGACTTTATTTAACATCTTCAACCCTCCTAGAGGCTCTGTGAGTTCTCTCTGGCTCATCACTGCATCCCTAGCCTCCAGAATAGCTCCTGCCACGTAATAGGCACTTAACAAATATCCATTGAATGAATGAACGTCTATTCCCTAATCCATTCCACTGGAAAGTAAGAGTGTTATGAAAGTTTAATGAGATAATGGTGTTAAGGGATAATTTCCCAAGACAGGTAAAATCATGGATCTCATACAAATTTAAAATGAACGCATGTCAAATATTTTATTTATTTAACACGTTGATTAAAAAAGAGATCTGTAGGGGTCCCTGGGTGGCTCAGTTGGTTTAGTGTCCAACTCTTGGTTTTGGCTCAGGTCACGATCTCTTGGGTCTTGAAATCAAGACTTGGGTCAGGCTCCACGCTCAACGGGGAGTCTGCTTAAAGACTCTTTCCCTCTGCCCCTCCCCCCACTTGTGCTCACTCTCTCTCTCAAATAAATAAATCTTTAAAAAAAAAAGAGAGAGAGAGAGAGATCTGTAGAATGTCACAACTGGTTTAAAAGAGAATCCAAAGGACACATATTTATAGCTCAGGAATATTAAAATAAATTTGCAATTAGATGCAAAATTGACCTTTCTGTGGGAAGGAAGAGTGTCCCTTCACCAGGCAGAATTTATTTTCAAGTCTATAGATAAGAATTACTTGCATTAGGGTGCCTGGTTGGCTCAGTTGGTTAAGCGACTGCCTTCGGCTCAGGTCATGATCCTGGAGTCCCTGGATCGAGTCCCGCATCGGGCTCCCTGCTCGGCAGCGAGCTTCCTTCTTCCTTTGACCCTCTCCCCTCTCATGTGCTCGCTCTCTCTCTCTCTCATTCTGTCTCAAATAAATAAATAAAATCTTTAAAAAAAAAAAAGAATTACTTGCATTCGTATCAGTTTTTTTGTTTTGTTTTGTTTTTTACAAATTAACCTTAATCTCTACAGAGTTGTGAAATAACTCTGTCAAAAACTAGGTCCAGATAATCCCTGAAGGCTTCAGCATTCCATTCAAAAGGTATCCAGTAATCTCTTTTGCTTTTTCCAAAACTTAAACAAAAATATTCTTACAGTCTTCCACCATTTTGATTAAAAAGATTTCCAAAAAAGAAAAAAAAGTCAAAAAATAAGGCTAGTCTCATTAGGTTTGGCCTGATTATTTACACAGGTGCAGCAAGAATAGGTTATCTTAAGTTTGCTCTGCTGGAAATTTTCATAAGGAATCTCAGATTGAACTTCTAAAATCTTCTATTTTTTGCTATCTTAAGGCTAGGAAATCAAGCCCAAGAAACTCTGCCCACCACATTTCAACTACGGGACCTATAAATTTGGGTAATTTCCTCTTTTCTAGAGGAAGGTTCTTGGGCCTGGACATGACCTTCCTACCACCTGCAAGAATGGAAACCCTATAAGCCATGTACCAGGCCAGGTTTTCTGGAAGACTTTGTAAGCATTGGCTCCATAAAGTCAACCTTAGTTCTTTAAAAGTGACTTGTCATTCGTGATTAGTAAGTATCACTCTTAAATATGAAATTCCAGACAAAGTCTTTGTTGTGTAAGTGATTTTTCCAATTATATCTTAGTAAAAGGAGAACAGATTTTTATTGAAACTATCCAAGTAACTATATTGCCATCAAAAGTAAAGAGACTCAATGAGAGTTTCTCAGTTTGGGAGATGAGGGGGAGCACATTTAAAGGATTAGAAGTTTGATTTCCTTATTTCCTAGAAATCTTAAGAATATTCAATTTACATAAGCACTTATTTCTCTCTGTAAGTCCATCTGAACAGAGCTCCTTTAATTTGAGACTTTACAGTCTAATTTATTAATACCATCTGGAGACAGGAAAACATTCTACATTCAGAATGAGAGATAAAGGCCTTTCTGAATTACAGATACATAAAAATACAGATACAAACAGAGCTTATAGCTTCAACTCTACAATTTCAGCTACAGATGAAAAATAAACACAGAAACACACCTACTGGTCCAGATACCACCTTCTTTGCAGGCATGACATTCCTAGTTGATTTGAGCTCAAAATACACAAGTGGACAAGCAAAAGACTAACAAACTATATTCTCTATTGTCCCCTCACTCCACAGGGAATTAGATCTCTATAAGACATTAATCCATTTATGGAGATCACCAAATTCCCAGTCACTGTAGCTACCAATAAGGAATAACTTAGCCATACGTGAACCAAAAAGAAAAACAAAACAAAAAATTAATAGGGAGTAATACTAAAATCAGAAAAACAGACAATAAAGTTCTATTGCCACTTTGAATTCGCCTGGGGGTGCTAAGAAAATATATGCCTGGACTTGGTTCCTTGTGCGGTGCATCGTTTCTGACAATTTCAGGTGAATCTTCTGCTCATCTTGGTGAGATCTCCAAGATTATTAAAGGCCAGATATATTTTAAAGCAAAACCATGACTCTTATACAACTATAAAATGGAGACATCAAAGATTTTATTGAACTCATTGATTAAATGAGGGAATCAGTAGGATGTTACAACTGGTTCCTAGGAGAATCCAAACAAATCAAGAATAGTGAAATAAACTTGCAAATGGACACATGACTGGCTTTTTGGGGGTGACGGAAGCATCATCCCTCTGTGCGACAGAGTTTATTTGCATGCGTATAAAACAAGAAATATTTGCACTGCTTTCAGTTTTCTATATATTAACCTTAATCTCTAGAGAATTGTAAAATAGACTCATCAAAAACACAGGTGATTATAGGGTCAGATAACTTCCAGAGGTTCCAGCATTTCAATGAAAAGATACCCAGCCTCTTTTGCTTATCCCAAAGTCTTAACTTTTTCCTTCCAATGGTAAATGTACACACATGTGTTATCTAAAATTAAGTCAATTGCTCCAACCAGTACTAAAGCAAAGGTTAAAATCATGCTTACATTCTTTGGGATTCTCTCTGAGTGCAGTAATGAAAATATACTGAATTAGAAGGAGCTCTGTTTTTCACATCTGCAAGTCAGGCAGAGTTCTTGGAAATGGGATTTGATATTTAAGAGTGGAAAATAGTTGTGAGGACACGGAATTACTCTTAATATTTTAAGGTAGTTAAATCTAGTGTTAGAAAAATTAAATCCTGAAGTCCTAATTTCAAATGGGGCGTAAAGAGTTGTACTCTGGATGAGCAGTTCTTTTTTTTTTTTTTTTAAGATTTTATTTATTTATTTGAGAGAGAGAGAATGAGAGAGAGCGAGTACATGAGAGGGGGGAGGGTCAGAGGGAGAAGCAGACTCCCTGCCGAGCAGGGAGCCCGATGCGGGACTCGATCCTGGCACTCCAGGATCATGACCTGAGCCGAAGGCAGTCGCTTAACCAACTGAGTCACCCAGGCGCCCCATGGATGAGCAGTTCTTAAATTTAAAAGTACAAAAGATTGACCTGGAGGGTTTACTAAAAATGTAGATTACTGTTATGTCCTGGAAGCTTCAATAATACAGATTCCCAGACCCTGACCTCAGAAGTTTGGATAGGCCCAAGAGAGGGCTCAGAAGTCTTCATTTTTAATAAGAAATTCTCCCCCCGAAATGATTCTGCAGTAAGCAAACTGAAGATTTCTCTTTGGAATCATTGTTTTACAGTCAAGTGTTCTCCAGCTCCCCAATCCCTCAGTGATCCTTTCTCTGAATTCGTGTAACACTAGACTTTAGCATTCTTAATAACAACATAACATCGTCATCGAGGTCCTCAGGCAAACAGAAACCATATTTGTTCCCCTTAGAATCTGTGTCAACCTCTTCAACTTAGTTCAACTCGGTACATAGCTTGCAGACGAGGATATCCTTGAGACCCAGAGTTCCTTACTTTTCTTCCTATTACATGAGAGCAACAAGAAGCTGAAGCCCTATCACAAGTTTATTTCACATCCTCCCTGAGTTTCTGGGTTTCTGGCTTCAGCACACTAGATCCACCTTAATGAAAGCATTGCCCTGACAGAAGGCTTTGCTCAATTATTCATTGATTCATTTATTTATTTAATGGTCTCTTATCCTTCAAAAGCCCTGGTACCAGGGACACCTGGGTGGCTCAGTCTTTAAGTGTCTGTCTTTGGCTCAGGTCATGATCCCAGCGTCCTGGGATCGCCCTGCATCGGGCTCCCTGCTCAGGGGGAAGCCTGCTTCTCCCTCTGCCACTCCCCCTGCTTGTGTTCCCTCTCTCGCTGTGTCTTCTCTGTCAAATAAATAAATAAAATCTTAAAAAAAAAAAAAAAGCCCTGGTACCAGCCATGCTGACATAGTATGAGTTCTAGGGATTGTAAATTAGGTTCGTTAATACTATCCATGTTGCCCAGTTACACTAAATTCATCTATTTGAGCAATCACATCTTTTGGTGACATGAGAAATGTCTAAAAATAACTTTCTTTTGTTGTTGTTGTTTTGTTTTGTTTTGTTTTGTTTTTAGAGAGAGAGATTGAGAGCGGAATGTGAAGGGCAGAGGGAAGGGGAGAGAGAGAATCTTAAGCAGGTTTCACTCCCAGCACAGAGCCCAATACCAGGCTCAATCTCACGACCCTGAGATCATGACGTGAGCCAAAATCAAGAGTCAGCTGCTTAACCAACTGAGCCACCCAGGCACCCCTAAAAATAACTTTCTTTTATAAAATATGACTCATTGTAACAACAGGAGAATAGATACAAGCACATAGATTTTTTTCTTTCAGAACAAAACCTCTCCTTAGTATGAAGACCGTGTACTTGATTTCTCTGAATTTTAAAAAGAATAACAATATTATCAATCGTTGAAAATGTTAAGTATAAAGAAGTTTTAGTTTGCACTGAAATTATATTTCTACCTTAAAATGAAATTTTTTTTTTTTAAGATTTTATTTATTTATTTGTCAGGGGAGAGAGAGAGAACACGAGCTGCGGGGGGCGCGGCAGGCAGAGAGAAGCAGGCTCCCCGCTGAGCAAGGAGCCTGATTTGGGGCTCGATTCCAGGACCCTGGGATCATGACCTAAGCTGAAGGCAGACGCTTAACTGGCTGAGCCATGCAGGCACCCCGAAATTATCTTTTTTTTTTCAAAGATTTTATTTATTTATTTGACAGAGAGAGAGAGAGATAGCGAGAGCAGGAACACAAGCAGGGGGAGTGGGAGAGGCAGAAGCAGGCTTCCCGTGGAGCAGGGAGCCTGATGCTGGGCTCGATCCCAGGACGCTGGGATCATGACCTGAGCCTAAGGCAGACGCTTAACAACTGAGCCACCCAGGCGCCCCACTCCGAAATTACCTTAATACAAGTTTATTTCATAAAACCTCTATGGGAAATGCCATTTTATCTTGGGTTAGAATATTAGGCTTAAACGAACGAGTACTATAATGGTTTCTTCATGCAAAGGATTAAGGCACTAGATGTGCTCTCACAAATAAGAAGACTATTCGTCTAGATCTCAGACTTTGTAGAAATGCTTGGAGTTAAAATCATATTCTAACCTTCTTTCCCAGGGATTTTAAGTATGATTGAACGAGGACTGATTCCACCAACAGCAAGGATTACCTTTCAGAACCCACCCATTATACCAAGAGCAGCTCCTCTGCATAATTTTGATGAAGCACGTAAGATCCCAGCTGCCGGTAAGACAGCCCTGCCTGTATGCTTAGCTGGGGATACTCAGGAATTACTTCCCACCTAAATCTAGTCTTCCAGTATCCAACGTTTATCTTCAAGGTTAGGACAAGATGAAAGCTGTAACGGTTCTAAGTTTCACTTGACTGAATAAAGTAACTTTAGTCTCTTTGTTGAATACCTACGCACAGCCTGTTGTGTCAGAAGGTTGGTATTTTCAAGGGGCTTGCAGCTTGGTTGGGAAAACAAGACAGATAGAACAAAGATAAATAACAATACAAAGAAGCATAGAATAAAAACCCAATAGATGTTAAAGTCTAGTGCTACAGGTGTTCAAAGGAACAGTTGTGGAGGGGCGATGTAAGAGACTTCAAAGAAGAGCCTGGATGAAATAGGGTGTTCAAGAAAAGTGTCAACCTGTGATTCTACTAACTACTTGCAGAAGCCCAGGCAAGCCATTTACTTTCTCTGGGCTCCAGCTTCCCCAGTTATAAAATGAAGGGCTTTGGGCTAAATGAACTCATCTGTTCAACAAATATTTGTTGAATGCTTGCTTTATCAAAGGTAGCTTTTAAGGGCTGGGGATCAAACAGAGAATAAGTCAGACAACATTTCTGCCCCCATGGTGCTTACATTCCAGTGGCAGAAACAGATAATAAGCAGGTGAGTAAATGAGAATTTGAGCTAGTGGTCAGTGCTAGAGATTAAACAATATGAATGAGAGAATGGTAAGGAGGTGGTCACTTTGCTTCTAAGGGAAGGGTCAGAGAATACCTCTCAGAAGATGTATGAGGCTTGAGTTGAGGTACAAAGGATCAGAAGAAGCCAGTCAGGTAAAGATCTAAGGAAAAGCATTCCAGATATAGGCCAGCACAGATACAAGGGCCTAAGGACTAAGGAAGGAACGAGCAAGGCTGGTGTGGCTGGAGAGCCAAAAGCCAGGGAGAGAAGGGAGGAGATGAGGCTGGAAAATAGAGAGGAATGATATGACATAGCCTGGAGTGGAGACTACGAGTTGTCCTCAATATTCATTCTTCCCTACTTCCACAGTAATGGAGTCGTGCGTGGGCACATGTCAGCTTAGCTAAAGACAACATTTCCCAGGCTTCCTTTCAGCTAGGTGTGCCCTGTGACCAGGTTCTGGACAAAGAGGATGGAAGCGGAAGTAGGAAGGGAAACTTCTGGGCTGAGCCCATAAGAGGAAAGGAGCACGGTCTCCCCCTTTCCTTTCCCCTCTGGCTAGCTGGGAGGCAGATGTGATAGGCAAGCACGTGAGAGCCATAGGTGGAACTCTGTGTTCCATCTCCGAGTCTGGCAGAGCTGCCCTACCAACCTGGGACTGTCTTCCTTCCAACTCTTGTGTGAGAGAGAATAAACTCTTAATTTGTTTAAACCACTCTATGTATTTTAGGATCTTTCTCTGTAAACATCTTTCACTACAGCAGAACTAGCATGGCAGCCTTTCAAACCATGATGAAGAGTTGGATTTAACTAAGTACAACAAGAGCCCACTAAAAGGTTTAAACAAGAGGATGAAGTGATCTGATTTATATTTTAATAAGACCATTCTGACTGCTTTACAGCTAATGAATCATAGGGAAGCATGAGTGGAAACAAGAAGGTTAGTTAAAGGCTATGTCTATAAACCATATGAGAAATGACAGTGGATTTGAGGAGGTGTCAGAGGATATGAAGAGAAGTGAAAAAATTCAGGTAGAATTTTGGAGGTAGAGCCATGATGACTGGCTGATGGATAGGAGGGAAACAGAGACATTATGGATAAATATGTATAAATGTATGAATGAATTATGTATGAATGTGCCCCAATTTTGTATCCATTCTGTTGATGGGAATTTCATGGTTTATAGTATAGGGCCATTAGGAATACTACTACTACGAACATTCTCATACATGTCTTTTAATGCATACACATATGCATTTCTGCTGGATACATATCAAAAAGTAGAATTGCTTTGTCATAGGGTATACATATGCTCAGATTTAGTAGATCTTGCCAAACGATTTTCCAAGGTGGTTAATGCTGATTTATTTTCCTACTAGCAGTACATGTGAGTTCCAGATAATATATATCTTTGTCAACACTTGATTTCAGTTTCATGTCTTCTAAAAATTTTGGCTCTCCTGATGAGTTTGTTGTGGTATCTCTTTGTGGGTTTAATCTTCACTTCCCTGATGACCAATAAAGTTGAGCAGGTTTTGGTAGGTGTATTCATCCTTTGAGTATCTTCTTTTAAAATGTGATTTAAGACTTTAACCTATTTTTTGAAAAATGGGTTTTCTTTCTTTTTCTGGGTTATTTATAGGAATTATCTATACATTCTGGATTCTAATCTTTTATCAGTTATATGTATTGCAAATAATTTTTCCTACTCTGTTTTGGCATTTCATTCTCCTACTGGTGTCCTTTTTTAATGGAACTTTTGATTTTGAGATCATTGTAGATTCACATAGAGTTGCAAGAAATAATACAGAGAGATCCCTTGCACTTTTAAGTCAGTTTTCCTCAATAATAATGTATGGCAAAACTCTAGTGCAATATCACAACTGGGATATCGACACAGCCAACATACAGGATATTTTTCTCACCAGGAGGATATCTCATGTTGTCCTTTTATAGCCACACACACTCCTCTCCCACCCACACCCCTTCAACAATCCCTGCCAACAACAGTTTGGTCTCCATTTCTATAATTTGATCATTTTAAATATGTTAAATAAATGGACGCATGCATCGTGTAACCTTTTGGAATTGGTTTTTGTTGCTCAGCATAATTCTTGGAAGATTCATCCAGATTGTTGTTTATATCAATAGTTTGTTCCTTGTTATCGCTGACTAGTACTTCATAATATGAATGTAGCACAGATGTTAAACCATTCACCTATTGAAGGATATGTGGTTTGTTTCCAGCTTGGGGCTACTATGAATTAAGCTGAAAGTGCACTGGATTAACTGACTCATATGCCAATAACAGAGTATAGAAAGGGGAAAAATAGAAAATTTACAGTTCAGACCTGGCAAACCCTACCTTAACCAAATGACCATGGTTAATATCACCAGGGATGCCATGTCGATAGCCTATGTCCTCTGATATGATGTGATACAGAGGGGACTTCACCTCTGTGGTATTCTGCCTAAAACCCCATAACCCCAGTCTAACTATGAGAAAGACATCAGATAAACCCCAACTGATGAAATTCTACAAAATACTAATACTCCTCAAAACTATTAAGGTCATGAAAAATAAGGAAAGACCGAGAAACTGTCACAGACCAGAGGAGACTAAGAAGACATGATAACCTAATACACTATGATATCCCGATCAGATCTTGGAAGAGTAAAAGGACAATATAAAAACTAGTGATATCTGAATGAACACTGGAATTTAGTTAATAGTGATATACCAATGATGGTTTCTTAGTTTTGACAAATGTACCATGGAATGAAAGTTGTTAACATTAGGGGAAATTAAATGAGGGTATACAGCAATTTTCTGTAAATCTAAAAGTAGTCCAAATTTAAAGTTTTTTTTTAAAGTCAAAAATAAATGATAGGAAAAGGCATCAATTTAGTGTAAATTTAAAATTAATAAAAAGGAGACAGATGGGGAAAAAAATACACCATGCAAAAAATAATCCAAAAAATCTAGATTGCCTGTATTAATATCAGACAAACAAGACACAATGACAAGGATAAAGAAGGATATCAATGATAAAAGGGCCAGTTCAGAAAAAAGACATAACAATCCTGTGTATGTACCTAAGAACAGAGATTCAAAATACTTGAAGCAAAAATCAATAACAATATAGATGACTTGAACATTATCAAACTATTTTAACATATCTAAGGAATTAAAATAAATAGCAGAATGCTCATTCATTTCAAATGCATATGGAACTTTCAACAAAATAGGCAATATTCTGGACCATAAAAAAAATCTTAACAAATTTAAAAGAACTGAAATTATACAAAATAGTTCTCTGACCATAACATAGTTAAATGAGAAATGAATTAGAGAAAACTATCTGGAAAATTTCCCAAATACTTGCAAATTAAAGAACATACTTTTAAGTAACCCAGTGGTCAAAGAGGAAATCACAAGGTTATTTAAAAATCTTTTGAACTGAATGAAAATAACAACACAATATATCAAAATTTATAGAATGCAGCTGAAGTAGTATTTATATAAAAATTATAGCATTAGATGTTTATATTAGAAAATAAGATAGATCTGAAATTATCTAAGTCCCAACTTTAAGAAACTAGAAAAAGAAAAGCAGAAAGAAGGAAATAATAGAAATGAAAGTAAAGGGCAATGAAATTGAAAATAGATAAAAATAGTATTATTTTACCTATTTTATTTTATATTTATTTTATTTTATACTTATTTTTATTTAGTATTAAATATAGCAATAATGCTATAAAATAGTATTATTTTATCTATTTTATTTTATATTTATTTTGTTTTATTTAGTATTATTTTATCTATTTTATCTAAGTAGTATTTATATAGAAAATCATAGCATTAGATGTTTATATTAGAAAGCAAGATAGATCTGAAATTAATTATCTAAGCCCCAAATTTAAGAAACTAGAAAAAGAAAAGCAGAAAGAAGGAAATAATAGAAATGCAAGTAAAAAGAATTGAAATTAAAAATAGATAAAAATAGAGAAACTTGTTGAAATCAAAATCTGTTTCTTGGAGAATATCAACAAAATTGGTAAACCTCTAGCCTAACGAAGGACTACCAAAGATAAAAAGAGATAAGGCACAAACTACCAATACCACAAATGAAAGAGGAGACATCATTACAAATCCTATAGACATTTAAAGGATGATATGAGAACATTGTAAATAGCCTTATGACCATAAATTGGACAACTTAGACTAATGGACTAACTCTTTGAAAGACAGATACTACCAAAGCTCACTCAATAAGAAACTAACTAGTCCTTATCTATTAAGGAAATTTAATTTGTACTCAAAAC